AGCTTGTGACCTGATTGACTGCAGGTCATTGTGTCCAGCTGTGTGTATTCCTGACACTATCAACCACTAGCTTGTGACCTGATTGACTGCAGGTCATTGTGTCCAGCTGTGTGTTTTACTGACACTATCTACCACTAGCTTGTGACCTGATTGACTGCAGGTCATTGTGTCCAGCTGTGGGTATTACTGACACTATCAACCACTAGCTTGTGACCTGATTGACTGCAGGTCATTGTGTCCAGCTGTGTGTATTCCTGACACTATCAACCACTAGCTTGTGACCTGATTGACTGCAGGTCATTGTGTCCAGCTGTGTGTATTACTGACACTATCAACCACTAGCTTGTGACCTGATTGACTGCAGGTCATTGTGTCCAGCTGTGCATTACTGACACTATCAACCACTAGCTTGTGACCTGACTGACTGCAGATCATTGTGTCAAATTATACAAATTGTGTTGCTGATGCTATCTGACACTAGTTTATGTGTGACCTGGTTGATTGCAGGTCATTGTGTCCAGGTCTAAAGATCCTACTCACACTTACAATCACTAGGTCATGAACTGGCCTCTCACTCTCTCATGTACTCACTCCTTGCAGTTTGCTATCAGCATAGACAGTAGTTCATATTTCAGTCAGCCTATGGTTAAGTTACCCATTCATCCTTTACAAGATGAGGAGAGTCTTTGTGACCAGACAATATCCATAAGTCAGTTGGTTTGTCATCTACACAGCAAGGCATCCCACCACCAGCACAGATTACAAAGATTTGCATTTGGTGATCAATTGTAATCCCAGAGAAATCCTTCTAAGTAAAATGAAGTGGGCCATTGATCAGCTCGCCAGGCCTGGAATTGTGCCAAGTCAGCAATAAAGTCAACCACGGTCAGAGTGTACTGTTAGCATGGCCTGCAGATGTTATAGATCTTGTGCTCTGGTAGCCTTGATGTGGGCTCTGGTGGGTCATGTAGCCTTGATGTGGGCTCTGGTGGGTCCTGCAGCCTTGATGTGGGCTCTGGTGGGTCCTGCAGCCTTGATGTGGGCTCTGGTGGGTCCTGCAGCCTTGATGTGGGCTCTGGTGGGTCCTGCAGCCTTGATTGAGCTCTGGTGGGTCTTGTAAGCTAGATGTGGACTCTGGTGGGTCCTGTAGCCTTGATGTGGGCTCTGGTGGGTCCTGTAGCCTTGATGTGGGCTCTGGTGGGTCGTGTAGCCTTGATGTGGACTCTGGTGGGTCCTGCAGCCTTGATGTGGGCTCTGGTGGGTCCTGCAGTCTTGATGTGGGCTCTGGTGGGTCCTGTAGCCTTGATGTGGGCTCTGGTGGGTCCTGCAGCCTTGATGTGGGCTCTGGTGGGTCCTGCAGCCTTGATGTGGGCTCTGGTGGGTCCTGCAGTCTTGATGTGGGCTCTGGTGGGTCCTGCAGCCTTGATGTGGGCTCTGGTGGGTCCTGCAGCCTTGATGTGGGCTCTGGTGGGTCCTGCAGCCTTGATTGAGCTCTGGTGGGTCTTGTAAGCTAGATGTGGACTCTGGTGGGTCCTGCAGCCTTGATGTGAGCTCTGGTGGGGTCGTGTAGCCTTGATGTGGACTCTGGTGGGTCCTGCAGCCTTGATGTGGGCTCTGGTGGGTCCTGCAGTCTTGATGTGAGCTCTGGTGGGTCGTGTAGCCTTGATGTGGACTCTGGTGGGTCGTGCAGCCTTGATGTGGGCTCTGGTGGGTCCTGCAGTCTTGATGTGGGCTCTGGTGGGTCGTGTAGCCTTGATGTGGGCTCTGGTGGGTCGTGTTGCCTTGATGTGGGGCTCTGGTGGGTCATGTAGCCTTGATGTGGGCTCTGGTGGGTCGTGTTGCCTTGATGTGGGCTCTGGTGGGTCGTGTTGCCTTGAAGTGGGCTCTGGTGGGTCATGTAGCCTTGATGTGGGCTCTGGTGGGTCGTGTAGCCTTGATGTGGGCTCTGGTGGGTCGTGTTGCCTTGAAGTGGGGCTCTGGTGGGTCATGTAGCCTTGATGTGGGCTCTGGTCTGTCGTGTTGCCTTGTGGGCTCTGGTGGGTCGTGTTGCCTTGATGTGGGTTCTTGTGGGTCGTGTTGCCTTGATGCGGGCTCTGGTGGGTCGTGTAGCCTTCAGTGAAATGAAGTAATGAATTGAAAGAATTGATTTAAATTCTTGGAATGATGGGTAAAAAGTTCACATTCTTCAGAGTTTGAGAAATGAGTTAACAGACTTGGCAGGAAGAAACTAATACTGTTCATAAAATGTTAAAATTTTGTTTCCTATTTGTGACATATATTATCGAATCAATATCCAAATGAGATTAAAACAAAATTCTTCAATAGTTTTTTCTCTCTTCACTGCTGGTTTATGTATTGATTTCAAAAGCTGTTTCTTATGAATTTAATCAAGGTTGATTTATTGCCAGATTATAGAATTTTGTAATGGTTAAAGTGTTTGTACCATGTTTCTTTTTAAATATAATACCACAATACTGAAAAATTTGGAAAGATAAATTACTTGATATTTCATTTACGGGCAGCATTTCAGAGGCTGTGGGGTAGTCTAGCGGTCAGGCAGAAGGCCCGGGTTTTCATTCCCCATGTGGGTACAATGTGTGAAGCCTATTCCTTGTGTCTCTCCTGCTGTGATATTGCTGAAATATTTCAAAAAGTGACATAAAACCATACTCACTCATTCCCTAGCATCTCATCTAGCCTTGCCTTGTATTTTACCCTAAAGAACAAGATGCCCAAGTCCTCAAGAGCAATCTATGTTACCATATTAATAAGCGCCCAGGGTGCTCTCAAAATTAGAAGTAGGGGGCTCTTATTAGAATATTATTTTGGTGAAAAAAAACAGAGTTGAAAGATAAATTTCGTGGTTTATGCTGACAGCCTGAAATGGTTATATACGACAGATATATTTTTCCAGAATTTAATTGCCCATAATTAAGGGCGCATATAACACACGAGTGCGTATTATACGCGAATAAATAAGTCTTGTGTAAATTGATCAATTGGAAGGGGTGCTAATTGGGATTGTTCACTTGCCAATATATTAGCAGATGTTGCTGTGGACGCTTATTAAATCGAATACGGTAATCATTAACTTTGTTCTCCTATTCATTCATCGTCAGTCATCCTTAACAAGCTTTTCAGTGCCATTCTTCATTAGTTTGTATTTATGACTTAATCCATGGCAAATTATTAGGCTAAATCCTTGACTCTAGGTGAGAGACGAGATAGGTCTCGCCAAGCTGGTATTGGGATTATTAGGCTAAATCCTTGACTCTAGGTGAGAGACGAGATAGGTCTCACCAAGCTGGTATTGGGATTATTAGGCTAAATCCTTGACTCTAGGTGAGAGACGAAATAGGTCTCGCCAAGCTGGTATTGGGATTATTAGGCTAAATCCTTGACTCTAGGTGAGAGACGAGATAGGTCTCACCAAGCTGGTATTGGGATTATTAGGCTAAATCCTTGACTCTAGGTGAGAGAGGAGATAGGTCTCGCCAAGCTGGTATTGGGAGATGCCTCTGAACACCAACATAAAGTGCTGACTTGACACATATTGTACATATCGACTTGTATGAAGTAAAACTTGTGTAAGATCATAGCTAGCCTGTTGATGGTGTCTCTTCCAACAAGAAAGGTGGTCGGGTAGCCTAGTGGTTAAAGCGTTCGCTCGTCAGGCTGACCCGGGTCCGATTCCCGACATGGGTACAATGTGTGAAGCCCATTTCTGGTGTCCCCCTCTGTGAGATATTGCTAAAATATTGCTAAAAGTGATGTAAAACCATACACACTCACCCTTCTAACAAGAGCGACCCATGAAGATTCCGGGGTAGAATAGGTCTTCAGCAAACCATGCTTGCCGTAAAAGGCGACTAACGGGATCGGGTGGTCAGGCTCACTGACTTGGTTGATACATGTCATCGATCCCATGGGCGGATACAGAGGGGGGTGCGGGGGTGCGCACCCCCCCTTTTTATTTCGAAAAAATTCTTTATTTCTCTATAAATTACCACCAAAGACAATAAATAGATCTTAATTGTGCACCCCCCCTTTTAAAAAAAGCTGTATCCGCCCATGGATCCCAATTGCGTGGATCGATGCTCATGATATCAATCACTGGATTGTCTGGTCCAAACTCGATTATTTACAGACCGCCGTCATATAGCTGGAATATTGCTGAGTGCGGCGTTAAACAACAAACCAACCAACCAATCTAACAAGAGCTGTGTTCAGAATCTGCAGAGAGTGCACATGTTGTTCAATCTTTTATCTTAGCTCTGCATGGGCTTCATCACTCACTTAGATTAGAAACGGGATGGTTTCCTTGCAGAAGCTTGGATATTCCCCACAGAAATATATGTGGATGAAAACAGATAATTTCATGTAACAAATGTTATATTTGAGATTACACTTTCTAAGTAAAGTACAAATTCTAGTACTTTTTTGCATCAGGTCCCATCCAGGATTCGAACTCAGACTCTCAGAGTGAGGCACCAAATCCTCGCAGGCTGAGTGGGTTAGGTCGCTGACTTTGTGTCCCGCAGTTAGGTTCCGCACTCTGAGAGTGTCGGTTCAAGTCCCAGAATTTGTACTTTACCAAGAAAGTGGTATCACAAATATAACATTTGTTGAATTTGACCACTTTCTAAAAGGAATTGTGTATTCAGAGAATTGTGTGTTGTCTTTGAATTTTTGACTACAGATGATATCTTCTTTCAAGCAACAGATCCCTTAAAAAGTTTAAAAGTATAGCTTTTAAACTAGTGGACGCCACAATAATGTTTCTAGGTTTGTCAGCACCATACCCGTGCTCATGGATTTCACCGAAGTGGTAAACGTCTAAGACCGGCATCACTTCGGGCTTTCTTCCCACATTAAGCTGACAAGCCTGTATAACTGGAATACTGTTCGAATACTCCCTCAGTCAAAATGGTTGGTACCCGTTTTTGTAGAAAGTGTATTTATGAGACACAAGTATTTGTAGTGTGTTGTTATTTTTTCAGATTACTCTATATTTCTGCTGATTGAGGCTGGCCACTTATCCAATACTGATTCCTACCAGGTAAGTCATTATTATTTCTCGGTCTGGGTTCAGCATATTTCTGTGACAGTCAGTACAGATGTACCCAGTTGTAGTATGGGTACCTGGAAGTAAGGGGTTTGATTCATGCCACTGTTTTGTTGTACCCATAAGAGAGGGAAACTATTTCATTAAACAAAAACCTTGTTATAAACAGTGCAGATCTGCCCAGTTGTAGGATGGGTACCTGGAAGTAAAGGGTTTGATTCATGCCACTGTTGTGTTGTACCCTTGAAAGGTTACATAAGAGAGAGAAAACGTTTCATTTGACAAAGACCTTGTTTTAAACTGTGCAGATCTGCCCAGTTGTAGCATGGGTACCTGGAAGTAAGAGGTGGATGTGTATCACAGTCATCACCGAGCAATATCATCAGAAGGGAGGTAACTCCCAATACAGGGAAGTCATTAATTGCAGGTCATTTCTACCCTAAAGTCATAACACTCACTAATAGTAAACATGAAAATGAGGGTGTATGGTGTAATGGTATTCTGTCCCTAACAAATTCTGTGTCAAAATTAAAATAATCTGCAGTAAAATTACCAAAAATCTGTGGCTATAATTACCAAATTCTGTGGTAAAACAACCTCAAAAATTAATATGAAACTCATATGCAATGTTTCACTCACATTATTCTATAGTTAGATGTAAACACAGATTGTGTTATCATAATACCACAAAAACGTTAAAAAGTGATAATTATTTACTCCAAATTTCGTTTTATTGTAGGATTCATATTTTGTAGGTTTAAATCACATGTTTAGGTATTAGAGTGCAAAATTCAATAGGAAAGCTTAAAAAAAATTTAAACTTATTGTCTTGATTGATAAAAAAAGTCAACTTCCGTGATATTTCTGCAAATCTGCGGAAAGTTATATTTTTCTGCAAATCTTTCTGCGATCGCAGGATTGGTCTGGGACTGATTTGTTGATGTCTGATGTCAGTGTAAAGGCAAGAAGTGCAATGACGTTGATGCCCTATATGTCAGGCCTATATGTTCTTTTACGTGGGAAAAAACAAAAGTAATCTAAACCCTGTGTCTGTTTTTGCATTTTTTGGTCTTGTCAATAAAATGTATCAGTTGTGTTCACTATTGCTCTGGTGTCAGATATTGTCAGATCTACCTCAAGCAGCTGGGTCATGTTAGTATTAAAAAAAAAAAAAAAAAAAAAATATTTGATTAGCATTCTAGAAGTTGATTAGTACATAAGAAGATGGACCATGTAATGGATAACAGTTTCTGGTTGTTAAAATTAGCAATGTTTCAATGTTGATTGACCGTTATCAAGCTCATGTTCATACAAAAAAATGTTGCAATTTTTTGAAACAGCTATATTTGTCAGCACCTGATAAATGTTCAGAATATTTACTATGAAAACAACTGGTTCCAGAAACAACAACCCTATCTCAGGCCACTACCGAGATTGATTCCATTGTAGTCTACTTCTGGGTATTGAACCAAAGATGTCCCTCATTGTGCAGGGATGAAATAGGCCTACGGCTACTCTTTGTTGTTCGAGAATTGTCTCAGTAGAGAGAAATGACATGCGAGAATAATGAAATTGCATGACCGAAATAGAGGCAGCCGTTTGTCAAATTGATATGGAGACATAAATAGCTGAAGGTGTTCAATACATCCTCTCTGTGTGAGCCTCATATATGGATTCCTCCTGTAGAGCTTCTCTGAGGCGGCAAAACTAGACGTATCCTTGTGACACTCCTTCCCTGCAGTCTTGTTGAGTGGACAGAAGTTACACGACGCTCACTCAACAAGCCTACTTGTGTGGTAGACTGACGGTTTGTCTCTGAAAACATATAAGTTTAATAAAAAGAAGCAACTACATTTAAAGTGAAAAGGAGACCCATTGAGATGAGAGTTTCAGGCATGAACTGCGGAAATTCTAGACTTGCCTCAATTATTTCAATAGAATAACAGTAGGGGCTGTGTGGAAGGGAAAATACTATGGTTCAGGGACTGCGACTGAACTGAACTGAACTAAACTTTTATTTACACTCAGGCTGCTATTAGTGGCTTCATATTTTCTCAATCTCCCAATTTCAATACGTAGGTTATTGTTCCAAGTTCTAAACTTAAGTAAGACTTGTCAAACGTTTTCCTGCAGTACGTTTAACCCTCATGGTGCCTGGCCGTCAGCTGGTTTTGTACACCACTCAGTGCCGCACTGTGATGACGTCGCGGTTTCAAAGGCGTATACATTGTATCAAAAGTGTTGCAACGTTCTTATTTCTTCACACAGTGTAACCAAATTGTATAATATGCAACTCGAATTGATTGTCTTTCCAACAGTATCTAAAATCAAGCTCCGACGTTCATACAGTTTGGTCCTCACTCTATGAAGGTTCATACTCCAATGAACTCACATAAAGTGAAGGTCAATTCTTAAATAATTAACAAGATTATAACAATGCACTACCACCCAAAAGTAAGTACATGCAAGGTCCTGTCCAGACGACAAATTCATAGCAGCCATCTATTAGCCTATACAAATAAAATTGCAGATTGTAACAACAAAAGTATCAAATATCAATTGCAATAGCTTATCATACGTTAATCGAGAGTACAGTGTACATCAATAATTTGTATATCTAATATCAATTAATTAGATCTAATATCCATGGCAGAATGTTGGAAATACGAGCTGTCGAGTTATGATGTTATATACCATTTCCTGATGATATTAATCAATAATGTGTATTTGATGATATGTATGCATACCCATTTGTTTGTTAATTATCTTCTACAATCACAGGATGTACCATGTACATTAGACTCACGGAAAATACTATTTCAGCAAACCAATCACAGCGCCATTATCACAGATTCAATGAAAGGAAAAATAAATCGAAATCAAACATTACAGCACATCGTATCCATAAGCGGTTAACCCAAATGTAAAAAGATATTGATGTCATCATTTTGGAAGTTATGTTGATGTTTTCAATAGTTGTATCATCTTTGTATCGCGTGCACCACCAACAGAAACCATGGTCGAACTGCCACATGTGAAACCGACCTTGACACAATACTTTTACAATATGACGTCGACTAATGTTAGACGTTGTGAAAAAAGTAGCAGTTATTTGTCTAAACGGGCGAGCATGTAGGACAACTGGTAGATGTAGACAGCTCAGCTATGAAGCGAACGTGCCCTGTCGATCACTTCGGCCATGGACAATCAATGTTCACCTTTGGATCATTAACTTCCATCCCATAAATATACACTATACCACCTAATATTAACGATCATAGCTATCTTTCCGTATCTTTGATTTGAATATTTTCTGTAAAGCAGCACCCTAAGCAACAGAAAGACAATCTGAAACGTCGTTTTGTTTTTATCGCTGTGCTAAATCACCATGACACACAGTTGATAAACATATGCAATACTTCATAAAAAAACTTCCGTTGCGAAATAAACATTAGTAGTCTTACACCAATAACTGTACACTGGAGAAAAGTAAATCTTTCTGACCAGTCTGATCAGATTTCTTTTTCAAATTGGCTGTCTGATATTATAATAGTTACGTGTATGTGACATGGGTGCATAATAAAAAGATCACTGTCATTTGCATGAAGTTCAATATGGCAGAAAAAGGTTGAGAAGCGCCGTAACCACTTTATTAATCTCACCCTATTTCGTGATCCGTAGCACTGTAAAAATATGAGTTACACATCGTTAAAGCTGAGATGATGAGGGTGATAATGGTTATAATTTTGAGTTTGTGCACACAGTGTTAGACATCTTAATTCACAGTTGCAAAGGGACATTTACACAGGACCATATATGGTCCTGTGGCACTATGAGGGTGTGAAAAGTGAGGGACCATATATGGTCCCGTGGCACCAAGAGGGTTAAGTAATATTCAAAATTTAGACAATAATTTTTTCTAATACTATACATTGTGCCTTTTTGAAGACTTATCTCTTGTACTTACCATGGCAGACTATTGTGTTGGGAATGCCAGATCAAGTGACTGCTGTACTGGATGGGTCTTACGTAATGGCCTGGGTTCTGTGGAAAGGGGTGGAGATCTGGGTTCTGTGGATAGGGGTGAAGACCTGGGTTCTGTGGATAGGGGTGAAGACCTGGGTTCTGTGGATAGGGGTGAAGACCTGGGTTCTGTGGATAGGGGTGAAGACCTGGGTTCTGTGGATAGGGGTGAAGACCTGGGTTCTGTGGATAGGGGTGAAGACCTGGGTTCTGTGGATAGGGGTGAAGACCTGGGTTCTGTGGATAGGGGTGAAGACCTGGGTTCTGTGGATAGGGGTGGAGATCTGGGTTCTGTGGATAGGGGTGAAGACCTGGGTTCTGTGGATAGGGGTGGAGATCTGGGTTCTGTGGATAGGGGTGAAGACCTGGGTTCTGTGGATAGGGGTGAAGACCTGGGTTCCGTGGATAGGGGTTGGGCCCTCGGTTCTGTGGAGATCTGGGTTCTGTGGATAGGGGTGAAGACCTGGGTTCTGTGAATAGGGGTGGAGACCTTGGTTAGAATATGTCCCAGCATCTTATCTAAAGTCAAAAGAGGGAAATAAATTTGCCCCCTCATGGATTAGGCATGAGAATAGGTCCCCAGCACCCTATGACTGGTTGAAAGAGGCCACACGTTGGGTCCTGTGTCTCTTCCAGTTACAATAGGTCCCAAGCACCTTATTACTGGTTGAAAGAGGCCACAAGTTGGGTCCTGTGTCTCTTCCAGTTACAATAGGTCCGAAGCACCTTATTACTGGTTTGAAAGAGGCCACAAGTTGGGTCCTGTGTCTCTTCCAGTTACAATAGGTCCCCAGCACCTTATTACTGGTTGAAAGAGGCCACAAGTTGGGTCCTGTGTCTCTTCCAGTTACAATAGGTCCCCAGCACCCTATGACTGGTTGAAAGAGGCCACAAGTTGGGTCCTGTGTCTCTTCCAGTTACAATAGGTCCCCAGCACCCAATGACTGGTTGAAAGAGGCCACAAGTTGGGT